TTTGAAGGTAGGTTTTGTGTTTTTTAATAAATCCCCATAAATTCAATGAGCCAAATTTGCAGGTAAAAGATCAAGAACAAAAACTGTCACGACGGATGAAAATGTGGCAATTATTTTAAATTATTTTAACAATCACCATGAAGCTTCTATAAGAGAGGCTTCAAGAGACTTAAATTTAAATTATAGTGTGATACAAAGAGTTTTAAAAAGCAACTAATACCATGACTATAAATTTCATAATTTGCAAGAACTTTCGCTTAGAGATTTTGAGAGGAGGAAGGATTTTATTTGTCAGTTTTTGGTGTCTTTGGATGACAATCCTAATTTATTTTCTCATATACTATGGACAGACGAAAGTCATTTTGTTAGTCATGGATTACCAAACAAAAAAAATACCCATTATTGGTCAGACGAAAACCCGCGCAAAATCAGACAACATCAAATACAGGGCCACTTTGGCATAAACGTCTGGTGCGGAATAGTCGGGCGGCACTTAGTAGGGCCATACTTTTATAAAGGCGCCTTGACGGGCCCAAGATACTTAGATTTTCTCCAAAATCACCTTCCTCTTTTGCTGGAACATGTGCCACTGCAAATCAGAAGAAACTTATGGTTTCAACTAGATGGAGCTCCTTGCCACAATGCGGTCATTGTTCAAAATTATTTGAATGAAGTCTACCACGGAAGATGGTTGGGGACACACGGGCCCTTGAAATTTCCGCCTAGATCTCCGGACTTGACACCCTTAGATTTCTTTTTATGGGGAATTTTAAAAAATATAGTGTATAAAACAAAATCTAATAATTTAGATATTTTAAAACAAAAAATTATTGATGCGTGCAATGGAATATCTGGTGATGTTTTAAGAAAAGTTACATCTTTCGAAATAAGAAAGCGGTACAATTTATGTGTGGATAACGATGGCGCATATATCGAGCAATTGTTAAAATAAGATTTGTGAATTAGCAATTAATTTTTACTAAATACAGTTCATGTTATTCTTTAATGTTTTATGTATGTTTTATGGGTTGTTAGTGTAAACTTTGATTATTTCCTAAACAATTACATAAGTGTTATTAAATGTAGGAACATCTTGTAAATTGTTTTCTTTAAATCCTAAATTATATTTGTTGTCAATATCAGCATAAAAGTTAGCCTGCCTGATTTAGTGAAATTTAAAAACCCAGCATTTTTTGTATGGCAATCGACAAATTTAAAACATAAAAACTGGTCTGTAATGCTTGAATGGTTTTAGATGGAAAAAAATGGTATTTGAAAAAAGTGTTTCTATTGAATAGATCTTTCAATTTCTGAAATAAAAATGGTATGCTTCTGACAAAAAAAAAATTGAAGCGTCGCGACGCCCAGCGTCGCTTATTTATAACTTCCTTATCCATCCCAATTTTAAGCATTAGCCGGCCCAAATAAAATACTTTTCACAAAACTCAATTTGCTGCAGCCGTTTACGAGAAAAACTCATTTCCCATGATAAAAGAATCACTGTTTCTCGTGTTTGTTGTCTGAAATAAAAATAACCTCTGAAAATCAAAATATGATTAACAAAAGTCACAAATAAATAAACATTTCCGGCTGGAAAAAATCATCATAAGAAATATAAATAAATGTGAGAAAAATAAATATTTATACGGTCAGTACTTACTTCTGCCGAGGCTGAAAAGAAAGAAATATTAATAGTCATAATTAGTAAATACCTGGTCCGTCGATGCCTGTGGCTAGTTGGTTTCTAGGCCTGGCGTGCCTCGTGTAGTCTACTATTAAATAGTCCGTGAGTTCCCGCAGTTCTAGGTTCGGATGTGTCCTTAGCTCTTCAAATATACTCTCGGCGCGTTTATTCATTCGCTTCTAGCTCCCTGTATAGCTGCGTGTTTCGAGTGTATCGATATGCATTCACTGCATACCTCAGGCAGAGGTTATGCTGCGTCTGGATTTTCTTACGGCTAGTCCTGCAGGTGTGTCCCCACGCTATGGAGACGTACATCAAAATCGGCAAAATAACGGCGTGAATAAGTCTTAGTTTGGTTCTAAGCGCTAGCTGGCTTCGTCGCCCGATCAGGCAACTCATCCGCGCTCGCGCTTGTTTGGCCTTCGAGACTACCATGTCCACGTGCGGTGTAAAACGCAAGTGTTTGTCCATCTTGACTCCTAGGTACTTGGCGGAGGTGCTCCAGTGGATGTCGTGCCCATCTATTCCTATTTCTCGTCCGGGTTGGTGTCGTCTCTTCGTGAATAGCACAGCTTGACTTTTCTCGGCATTAATTTTGATTTTCCATTTTACGCACCACTCCTGGATTTTTGTCGCTGCTACTTGTAGGTGCCTTGATATCAAATAGGGCTGTGTACTCGAGGCTGCTATGGCCGTGTCGTCTGCGTAGAGTGACATGGTAGTTCGTTGGGTCTTTGGAATATCCGTGGTGTAAATGGTATACAATAGCGGTGACAATACCGCTCCTTGAGGCACCCCTGCGTCCGAAACTCCAGATCTTGATAGGACATGTCCCATCTTAATCCGAAAATTTCTTTCGCTGAGGTACGACTTGAGCAGCGTCGTCATAGCCGTTGAATATCCTAGGTCCTTCATCTTGTAAATCAGGCCGGCGTGCCATACTCTGTCGAATGCCTTGGAGACATCTAGGAATATAGCTCCTGTCGATTGTCGATGATTAAATTTCTTCGTAATATGCTCTACTAGCCTTAGGACTTGAAGTTCGGTGGAGTGTCCTTCGCGGAATCCGAATTGCTCGGCGGGGATTATGTTCATATCCTCGGTTTGTTCCTTTAGCCTGTAGAGTATAATCCTTTCGCAAATTTTGCTCATCGCGGGTAGAAGGCTGATGGGGCGGTAATTTTGCGGAAAGGCGGGGTCCTTATTCGGTTTTCGAAACATAAGCACTTCTGCACTTTTCCAGAGTCGTGGGAAGTACTGATTTCTTAAAATCCCGTTAATGATTGCTGTGAAGTGGACAATGGCCTTTTGAGGTAAGTGCTTCAGTGCTCTGTTTGTAATGTGGTCACATCCTGGTGCTTTATTCGCTGAAACAAAACGAATAATGCCAATCACCTCGTCAGGAGATGTCGGCGTTAAAATTAGTCCGTCGTCGTCATCTTCTGGGTAGTTGTTTTCCCATAGTTCGTCCACTACGTCCGCAAAGCCCATGTCCTCATCGTCGTGTTCATTGTTTTGGCATTCGTTCTCCAAGGAGGTGGCGAATACTTCGACTTTGTCCTCGTCGGTGTGGGCGAGGCCTCGCGTACCGTGGAGCGTAGGTACTTTTGTGTGTTTGTCTCGTCGTAAGATTTTCTGCAGGTTCCAGAGCCCCTTTTGTTGCGGATTCAGAGTGTCTAGGAAGTTTTTCCATTGTTCGTCGCTATGTTGCTTGAGTTCTTCTCGCAGTCTAAGTGCGAGGTTTTGCGCGTAGATCCGGTCTCGGGGGAGTCTAGTCCTGATTGCTCGTCTGCGTGCTTGTCGTTTTTGTCTTATTAGGTCCTTAATGTCTTGGCCGATGTTCTTAAATCTGCTGGGCCTAGTTACTTCGGTTTTCCCTCGTGCTGGTTTGCAGCGCTTGTTGGATGTGATGCACTAGGTGCTCTAGCGCTCGGTCCACTGCCTCCTCGTCTTCGATTACCGGTACGTTACCGATATTTGCCCCTAGAATTCTTTTGAACTGCGTCCAGTTTGTTTTCGACACCATCTTCGGCGGGCTATCTCGTTCTCCCTCACCTAGGTGAAGAAGTACGGGATTGTGTCCACCGAAGCCCTCGTTAAGAGAATACATTTCCAGGGGAAATGTGCAATCTCTCACGATGGCAATGTCAATCACATCGGGCAGTCCTCGTGTTGGGTGGTGTGTTGGCTCGAGTGGACCTCCGGCGTCGCATCCTGGGTTATCTGCCAGGTAGGCTTCCAACGCCCGTCCTGAGGGGTTGCGTTTTCTGCTGTTCCAGTCGGGGGATTTTGCGTTCAAATCTCCGATTATGAGGCCTTCTTCGAAGGGTGGTAGCACTAGGTCTAAATCCTCGTGATGTAGAATATCTCTAGGTCGTAGGTAGGCAGACACTATGTTAAAATTTCCGTGGGAATTTCTAACAGTGATCGTAATAGCCTCCATTGTCCTGAGTCCTCCGGGCGTGGGAGTGTGATAGTGATCTATCTCCCGCTTAATAAGAATCGCAGTGCCTCGAATTTGCTCTAAGATCGGTCCTATACACGTCATAGTCAGGATAACTAAAGTTTTGCCGCTCGGTTAGCTTTGTTTCCTGTAGCGCTATAACGTCGAGGTCCTCTCTGTCGATTAATTCGAATAGAAGGTTCTTATTTATCCGAATTCCTCCTGAGTTCCACGATAGGATCTTCAGCTGATTTGGCCTTGTAGGTGGTGTATTCATTAACGGGTTCCTTGGTGTCGCATGAGGAGTTCTAATAAGTCCTTGATGAGGGCGTCGTCGTTAGATCTCTCCTTTTGTTTTTGTTCGACTACGTGTCGAATAGCCTGCGTCGTGGTATTTGCGTATGATATACCCTCTGTAACGTGGGCGGGTTTCGTGATCGGCCTCTGTCGTGGTTTTTGCGGCTGTCGATTTCTCGTAAGTTGGTATTTTGTACATCCGCGGTAATTTGCGGGATGTTCTCCTCTACAATTGGCACAAGTGGCCTTGACGTCCTTGTTCGCACGTCTAGGGCATTGTTCTGCACGGTGTCCTTCTCCGCAAATTACACATTTTACGTCCCTGTGGCATCCTGACTGGGTGTGGTGGAAACCCTGACACCTGTAGCATTGTGATGTTGCTGCATTTGAATGCAGTGGTTCCATGCGGACCACTAGGTCCAGGCATCTCGTAACTTTCATTATTTCGGCCCTTTCATTGAGCGGAGCGTCTATCAAGAACAGTGGCAATGGTTGCTTGTCCCGTCTTGCAGTCATTCTCTGCACTTTCAGGGGTTTTAAGCCCTGGCTTTCAAGATCCTCCATAATGTCGTTAACCTCGCTTTCCTTAGGGAGTCCTCGGATGACCGCTTTGTGGCATTTTTCATCTTCTAGCCTGTATGTGTGGTATTTGGCTTTCTTTTCGTCCAGGTACTTTGTCGTGGCCCTGTACGCATCTGAGGTTGCTGGCCAGATTTTCAATTCTTCGTTGCGTGTAGCGGCTTTAGTGAAAGGGATACCCCTTTCTACTAGGCCACGTCTTATTTCTGGCCAGTTTTTGGCACCGCTTTCCACTACCACCGGTGGTACTTTAGTCTGTTTCGGCTCGGCCATGGCGTTAAGGGTTTCATCACGCCCTGTAATAACCACGTCGGCTGTCGCTTTCGCAGGTTCAGTACCTCCTGGTGCATGTGTAGGCGGTACTTTTGTCTTATCGGTTTTCGTCATAATCGGTATTTGCGGAGTCCTAGGTGGTAGCGGTGGGAATTCATCGTCCTTTGATTTCGTCGCCGTTGGCGTTACAGTCTTAAATATCGGTAGCTTACATGCCTCGGAGGCTCGACCGTTTACCGGCCGATTCAACCCCTTACTCGCACCCAAGCGTCCCGTATTTTCGACTGTAGCACTTTCATCCCTGGGCGGTGAAAAAGCCGGAGACTTGCGTCTACGATTTTTCGAACCGTTCCGGGAGTTAAGTTTTTGACATTGGTGTCGTCTTCCTCGGACGATTAGATATTCCCAGCGCCACTTGTGGATTTTCGGCCCCTTTTACGGGTTTTTCGTGATACTCGTCTTCGCTGTTTGGTAATTCGGTAGCCATTGCCTCGGTGATGACTTCCTCGGCTGGTTTTTCGTTGTTAATTATTCGCTTTTTGTTGTCTCCTAGGAGAGCTAGGAGAGTAGCTACTTGGGCTGTTAAATTAGCCACCTGGGTTGTGAGGTTTTCTACTTGCTTGAGAAGTCTTTTGTTTGTTTTCTTTAAGTCCTCATCTTCGGATTTCTTGGACATTTCGTCCAAGTTTTTAGGTATTGCCCCTGTGGGGGCCATCCCTGTAGGTCGTATCACTGAAAGAAATAAATTGGTAGTAAATCTTTCACAAAACTACCAATTTTTATTAATAAAATCTCAAAAATAGTTCTGAAAATAAAAATATAAAATTAATAATTTTCAAATCTTATTCGAATTTTAATCTTTCGGCATTTGCCTAGAATCTTCTGAATCACTAAGAGAAACACTATCTTCGTTGCGAACGCTGCTCCTGCCGAAGCGATTACAGGCCGTTCTTGTCACACTAGAGAATATACTTGGAGCGATCTTCGTACTTCTTGTCGTTGCGGCTGCTGCGGTAGTTGTGTGTAACTGGCTTCTCGCTTTGCCTGCTCCTTTTATAGGTCGCAACGCGCGTAGGAGTGTTGCCATAGCTACCGTGGTCGGCCGCTCACTGACAACAATTATAGATGACTGAAGGGTTTCAAACACAGAATTCGCTTGAAAATCGAATTTCGACGTTAAGTTTTTATGGTAATTAGTAAAAATAAAATAAAAATGCTTTTAAATCTGGCTTTTCGATTGCATTTCATTATTTAAATAAAAGAAACTTGGTTACATTTTAATATAAGGATCCAATGGCAACTAATTGAAATTTAAATACGATGTTAAATTCGACGGATTGTATGTTTTTTTCAAGTAATTTGATTAAAGTAACTTCGGTATATTTAAAAAAAAATTCTAAATTCGATTTTTTCGACGGATTCTGTTTTTTACAAATAATTAAATAAAAGTAACTTCGTTATAATTTGTTCCAGCAAAAGGAAGAAAAGGTTTGCTTTTTTCACATCAATGAATCACATACCGCTTTCTCACTACTGCTAAAAAACTTGATGTTAATAGTTGAGTGAGAACATTTTACATTTCACTAAAACTTAGTGTTCATGCATAAGACTACTGAATAATATATACAATAAATAAAAAAAGAATACAATAATTCAAATATTACTATAATTTTTATGCTTACCTTGTCTAGTAATTTTCTGTGCATGTTCAGTTTCAGTTTCAAGTTAAAATATCTAAGCCAAATTAAGACGTGTGGAGTACAGGAATAATTATTGTAGTCAGGTATATCTAGAATTAAAATAAATATTAAAATTAAAAATGATTTTTAACTAAAATTATATTTTTAAATAGGTACTACTAATGTAAAAGAATCAATGAATTTATAAAGGCAATATAAAATTAATTAAAAAATTAATAAAATTGTTACTAAAACTTCATTTATTAAAATATTACTATTTTTATGGAACCTTTCAAATAAACTTACCATATATATTTAAAGGCGAAGTAGACACTACCTCCTCATTTGGTGGCATCGTTGAAACATCTATAAGAATATTTTATTAACACAATGTAACATATTTTATAAATAACTGAAGATATTTGGAAAAGTATCTTAAGATGGAAACGTATTCAGAATGGGAGATGTAAGTCGGCCTCAAATCGTACATTTTTCGAGGATTATAAAGTAGAAAATGAACTGGTCAACTTTCAGTCCCTCCTTCTGTTAAATCTCGAGTTTTGTATCACGTTCATGACTCAGTCACTGCAGGTTATCCTGGCAGAGATGAAACTATCCGTAACATATCTAAATTAAATTGTTGGATTAATTTAAGAAAAGATGTTGCTGATCATCTAGAAAAATGTGTCATTTGTCATATTAGTAAAGGTAGAAAACCTCAATTTTTAGCGCCATTAAATTCGTATGAAGCTAAAAATCCTTGGGATACTATTATTAGCATAGACGTGATGGGTCCCTGTCCCAGATCTCACGCCGGGCATAAATACATAATTGTCTGCGAAGACGTTTTCTCAAAATAGATTGAAGTTAAATGTTTAACAACTTCAGTAGCTTCCAAAATAACAAAATTTCTGGAAGATGACGTATTTTCACGATTTGGGTATCCAAAAATACTATTTACCATTAACAATCCATTCCTGTTGAACGTAAAAATCAAGAAATTAAAAAAATATTAAGAGCTCATTTAGTAAATAAAAATCCGAGCGCTTGGGAAAAATTGTTGCCCCGCGTCCTGTTCGCTTTACGTTCCAGGTACAATGTTGCAAATGGGTTAACACCAAGTCAAGCCCTGCTAGGATAAAATCTCCCTTCTCCAGGAGATAGAGCAAGTCCAAGGTTATCTGAACCGGTTAACAACCAAGGGGCCATCTGAGATGCTCGAATCCAATCAATGAACACCTGAAAACCTACCAGTAAAAGTACGTCTCTAAACATCCTTATGCAGTCATATTCAAGGAGCAAGAAAAAGTTTTTATGCGCGAACTTCGACCTATTAAAGACAATCCTTTTCATCAAAAGTGGATAGGAGCATGTAAAATCATTCAGGTTCTAACGGATTCAGTTTATGTCGTCGAAAGGGATGGAAGTCCTATGAAAGTCCACATAGATGACTTAAGACCAGTTCCAGCCGAACTAGCAGAACCAGATCTGATCAGCCCATTGAAGATGAAAACGTATCAGATAACGAATCAGATGAAGACAATTTACATGTGGAGGAATCTGAGCTACTCCACATTCATTAATGCAATTTAAAAAACACAAGATTATCAACTTCTAGTCTAGAGGTATGTTATAATTTATATAATAAATTACATCACCAAATCAAAGAAAAACTCTCCGATTAATTACCCTGCATCCAGTCATACTGAAAGACTCTCTAAACACACTACATATAAATTCGGACAAATTAGCTGAATTTATTCTATTATAAATAATTCAGACAGTTGCATGAATATTTTGTCGTACTCTCTAAACCCTCTACATATAAATTTGGACAGATTTGCCGAGTTTATTCTATCATGAATTATTCAGGCAGTTGAATGAAAGCATTTTGTTCAGATTGATAAGCTGAACGCTGTGATTGTAAACAAAAAAATGTCCTATTCTTCATCAATCATTGTAGTTGTGCTCCCCGGCAATTCACGAATGATTTCTATTCCCATAAAAAAACCGATAGACTGAAAACTGTAAACCTAGAAAAACTTTTCATGTGCGTTGAAATGACTTTCTAAGTGCGCGGAAATGTCTTTTTAAGTGCGTTGAAATGACAATAACTCGTTATATGATTCTTATTTTGTTGATAGTCCTTAAAGGTAATTTTTTTTGTTGTAATCATGTTTTATACACCTATTAAAAAAAATGTTGAATTTGTATTACTTTAATGTTTGTTCTACATAGCTATGAATGTATACTTCTTCTTTTCTCTCAGTTGAGAAATGTATTTGTATGGTTACTTTTAAAATTGTTTAAACTTTATATACATATATTTGTAAAAAAAAGCTGTTGTATACCAAGCAGCGATTCATACCCAGTAACACTCCTCAAAATGGGGGTTGTTAAAGATAATTCAGATTCAGTCATGTTACTTAGAAATCGCTGTCTGATACTAGACAACTCCGAGCCCACGAAATGCGAGTTGAAACGGATGATGCTTTCCGGCCCTCTCTTCTGTGCCAACCTCGAAGAAAGCAACATCTCGGACAGCTCTTTTCTTGTGCCGCTCAAGGAGTTCTTTGTATTAAGGTGAGTAAATGTTTATGTTCATTCTAAGTTTCTTGTTTTTGTAGTCCCTGATCCACTTCCTATTCACATAAAACTAATAACTATATTAATGTGTTGGATCTACAGGCGGCTGGCTGGCTCCCTATTATTGTTGGTTGTCCATGGTCGGTTGAAATAAAATTATTGAAATCAGAGTTGTAATAATTTTGAACGTTTAGTTAATTTTTGTATTGGTGTTGTGGGCATTTATAGGCTCTGTTACTGTTTAACATCCTCTAATCCTTGAGCTACCTACCTGCCTACCTACCTACCTGCCTACCTACCTACCCACATCTTTTCATTTAAGATAATATGACTTATCTTAAAAAAATTTGCTTGAAAACCTACCTGTAGTATTACTAGAGTAATTATGTTTCACACCATCCTCCACTGAGGGTTTTGAAATGGATCTTTTAGGTGTCTGCAATAACGAGGAATAATTCAAAACGGATGAACCTAAAATAAAAATTCATGTACTTATAAAAACTTATTTCAGAACATTAAGTGTAAGGGTTAAAGAAAAGGTCCTTTATTTCTCACAAGTCAATTTAATTGGCGACCGGTTTCGAAGCTGTCACTTCATCATCAGGCACACCTTGACTATTTCCATAAAGGTGTGCCTGATGATGAAGTGACAGCTTCGAAACCGGTCGCCAATTAAATTGACTTGTGAGAAATAAAGGACCTTTTCTTTAACCCTTACACTTAATCCCTACTACTCACATATGGCTACCCTCACTTCATATTTCAGAACACTTTAAAATGATTTTTTTTACATTTACATACATTTTGTGACATTTATGTGTATACTCGTAAACTTACCTGCTAGTTCATCTTCATCAAATTCAGAACTTAATCGCTGTATGCCAAAATTATATTGTCTGAGATAAAAAATTTTTCTTCTTGTTTCTAGTGATGGTTTTGTATGACTTACCACCAGTACCCTTCCTTTGTACCTTATCCAAAGAGTGTTTTTTTAAAATCTTTCTTTACAGCGTCATATTTATATTTTAACTGCTTAGTTGTGCGAGCCTAAAATGTATATACTTTTTATTCAAATAAACAATATTTACATAAACTGTTTATTTAGAAACTGAACATACCGGGCCTGTAGTTGAACAATTGAGGCGTTGTTCGGAAAAACCTCATTTGTTCAAAACTAATAATTTTGGGAAAACAATAAAAACCCTCCTGGTTCTTTACGTTTTATTAAAAAGCTTTATTTTACTACTTAGGTGTAAACAAATATAAGCAACATTTTCCAAAACATTTTGCGATTTTTTTTTAAACAATATGAGAAAACAAAAAAAAAATACATGGACCTATGAGGTTTTTAAAGGAAAAATTTACGAAATGTTTTTATCAAAAATAAAAAGTAAATTATCCACTATAACTAACACGTATATAAGCTTCTAAATAAAAGTAAACACAAAAAAAACTTATAGTATTATTCATACTCTTCTGGTTTTTAATCAAGTCATTATACAATTTTTTGTTGCTGTGGTTATGTAGAAGAGGCAGAAGGTTTTTTAGAGTATCTAGTTTGGTTTTTTTCATTGGAATTGGCAGAATGTATGAATGTTCTAAATGTATTTCTTTTTGCATGGATATTCTTCAAGCTACAAGCGATGACTGCCATGCACCAGTGTAGCTATCTCTTAGGAGTACACAACGATTGGTATTTTCAATTCGGAACATTCTTACATTTTTTTATGTTAATTGCTGGTTTTAGATATAAAAAAACTGTCAGTTGCATTTTTTATGTCAAAAATGATGGATTGGTCGACTTTGATAACTCTAAAAGGTGACGGTTTAATTCGTGATTGTAAAATAACATTATCCCACCCCTCTGGAGTCTCAACTCTTTCCATTTTTCGCTTTTTGCTTGAAATAAGGGAAAAATCCCGGTCATTAGGAAGATAAGAATGACCTCTCACAGGGAACAGGTAAATTATATAATCAAACAGATTAAGACCATGAAATAACACATATAAAAAATACAACATGGTGTAGTTTTTGTTCTGACCCGGACAGCCATCAATCAAAACCAAATTTCATTGGTATTAAAGTAGTTCAATAACATAGAAGCAACGTCGATTGATCCTTTATTTGCTATATCTTCTGTGTAAGTATACATTGTTACATCGTTACTGCCTAAATTGTGAATTCCAAACACGTTTTACCTTATACCATATTTCTCTTGCAAAAAATACTGGATTGGAAAGAATGTGTGGCAGTGGTAAATTCTGCATAAAATCAAAAGTAAAACAAGAAATTTCGCCTGCTCTAGCCTGTTCTTTGTAGGCACGTTTTTTGCTAGTGAATGCTGCAGCTTTTCTTAAATGAAGTTCTTTTTGCATTTTGCCGAAATGCTCTTATTGTTCAAAGTATGTTGATATTTGTCACATTCTGCACATGTGTCTGAATGGGGATATCCAAACTTAACATTAAATTTAGTTTTAAAGATTTTTCAGTACATTTTGTAGGAAACGTTAAGGTAGTACTACTGTCTTGTGCATATCTTTCACTGTTAACTCGGATGGTAGGTACAGCTAATTTTGATTTTTTCGCAATGAGTAATGAGACAGAATTGGAGAAAATGTACGTATATGATTCATAATGAGGATAGTAGCTTCTTTGCTATAGTTTCTAGGGCGGCAAGTATGTTTGCCTCTCATATCTCTGGGTGCACAACCTTTTTCTACTAGTGACAACTGAATTCTTTTTAGGCAAGGCAATGTAACTGCATGAATG